GATCAGGGTCAGCAAATCTGTCAGCACACAATCGCGCAGGTGCGGTTCATGGGCTCGGCGGTCTTGGGGCGGGGTTGGGATCCCCAAGGCACGGTGGCGGGATGGGCCGAAGGCCAATATATCCGCCGCCCCCTGCTTGCAGGGGTGCACGGCGTGCTGGACGTTTCAGGTTTTGGTTTTGGTTCTTTTTCTAAAAGAACTCCCCAGTGGGCTTCGGCCCGTCCCGCCGGCCACCCGGAAAGGATGCCCAGGAGCTCAATTGCCAATTTCCTGCCCCAGACGGTTCCAAGATGGCCTCCAAGATGCCTCTAAGACGGCCAGGATGGTCTCTAAGACGGCTAAGATGGCTCCAAGATGCCTCCAAGACGGCCCAAGATGCCCTCCAAGACGGCCAAGATGGCCCCAAGATGCCTCCAAGATGGCCCAAGAGGCCTCCAAGACGTTCTCCAGGAGAGCCCGAAGAGGCCAAAATCATTGGTTTTCCTTAGGTGTTTGAAGGTTTTTTGCGTTTTCTTCTTTTCGGCCTTCCGACGGCCCAAGAGGCCCCCAAGATCGCCCAAGAGGCCTCCAAGAAGGCCCTATGACGGCCCAAGGGCCCCCCAAGACGGCCCCAAGAGCGCCCCAAGACGGCCCAAGAGGCCTCCAAGACGCCCAACATGGCCTCCAAGACGGCCCTGAAGCGCCCCAAGAGGGCCCCAAGACGGCCCAGAGAGGCCCCCAAGACGGCTCCAGACGGCGTCAGACGGACCAGGAACGCCCTAAGACGGCCAAAGAGACCCCCAGGAAGCCCCCAAAGGCCCCCAAGAGGCCCAAGGAGGCCCCCAAGATGCCTCCAAGAGGCCTCGAAGAGGCCCCCAAGAAGCCCCCAACAGACCCCAAGGGTGCCCCAAGAGACTCCTAACAACCCTCATCCTCCTACTCTATTTCTTCCTCTTCCTCTTCCTGTTCATAATCATTCTCTCCCATGTGTTCCCCGAAAGCTTTCCAAACCGACTCGGGGAACTCATGGTCCGATAGCTTGGCCAAGCTCTAGTCCAACTTTCGGCCACATCGGCGTTTCCAAAAAGGCAGGGGGCGGCGGTGATTCGCCGTAGGCGTCTTCGAAATATATATATATATATATATATATATATAGTCAGCCCGAGCCGAGACGGGCGAGGCAGAAGATCTCCAGGGAATGGTGCATCGAGCCGGAGTCTCCTCCTTGGAGCCCCTCCTCTTCTCTCGTGGTCTGGTCGAGCACCCCTTGGAAGATCCGCTCCTGGACTGCACCCCGATTTCGAAGACCCTCCACCCGTCCGCGGCCGGGCCTACGACGATGGCTCGGGCAAAGGCCCACCGGGGACCAGGAGCTCCAGCTGGGGCTGCGTTCTTCTGGGCGAAGGCGGGGCGGAGGTTCGAGCCATGCACGGCTCTCTCCCATGACGTCGTGTGGAGCGGCTGTTCTCCGTGCCGACATTTCACGGGCTGATGGAAGCCCTCGAACGTACTGCTCCGCATCTCGGCTTAGGGAGAGACGGCTGCACGGCCATCGGGGAGGTTTGAAACGCGGGCGAAAGTGGTCTTGCTCTCCTAGGCAGCCCCGCGCTGACCTCTGGGCCTGTGTCTGGTTTTTGCTCCAGGGCTCATTCCCTGGGGGCGGCGATTTTGAGCTTGTGAAGGGCAGGGCCCGCGCCCGTGGCCCAGCGGGCGACCCTCATGAGGCGCATCTCGATGTCCATGGAAGCCAATTCACTGATGCCGAAGCCAAGGCAAGGCCTGATCTTTAGGCGCTTCCCTCGTCGACGAGCGCCATCCGGACCTCTCGCTCGGGCGAGGTGCAGGCGGTGCTTAATCTGGTGGCGGGGGTGACGGTTCGGACAGGGGGACTTTGAAGATTCCACGGGGAGGCCCGCCGAAGGCCCCGTGGGGCCCCGTCAGCGCCGCCAGGGCCCACCTCCTGGGACGAAGGCCCACACGCTGGTCTGGAGTCCGGGAGCCTGGCGTTGCGGGGTTTGCTGTAGGTAGTATGCTCTGCACCCCAAGGCCAAAAGGGCCCTGAAGCGCAGGCGCTGCAGCGGTGAGGATCGTCATTGGGTCGTCGCTGAGGGGGAGGGGGGGGCATCTGATTCCACCAGCCCTGCGGGGCAAGGCCCTCGGGCACGCTTTGCACCGACTGGGCCAGTTTGCTGTCTGCGATCGGTGCCGTCCCTTTCCGAGCGAAAGGAGCTGCAGGATGGTTGAGGCTTGCGGCACGGCTCCCGCCAGCACCACGGCGGCGTATCGTCCCTCGCTCCTGCGCCGATGCAGGCACCCTTCCAGCGTGAAGCGCTCCCCTTGCCGTGGGAGTTTGGCGCCTTCCAGGGGAGTGCTCTCCCACTGCGGAGGCGGGTGTGAGCAGCACCTTCTTGGTGTGCCCGCCCGACCTCGTCCTTTTCACTGGCGGCTGACTGGGGCAAGGTGGTGTCAGGCTGGCTCTGGCTACAAGAAAGCCCTCGCTCCCGCCGCCTCCCCCTTCCCTCGCTGATCCCTCCCTCCGCCTCCCCCTCCGCCTCCTCAATCCCTCCCTCCCTCCCTCCCTCTCCCTCCTCATCCTCCTGCCCTCCCTCCCCATCCTCCTTCGCTGGTCGCGAGCCCTGCGCCACCATCACCTCTCGTGTGGGAAGCAGTGAGCAACTGTTCAGCCAATCCGCCCCCTGTACACGGTGGGGCTATTCACGGTTCGAGGGCTGCCCTCGTGCGCCTCTTCATCTCCCTTCCCTCATCCCGCCTCGTCCTCCTCCTCATCTTCCTCCTCCTCTTCCTCCTCCTCCTCCCCCTCCTCTTCCTCCTCCTCTTCCTCCCCCTCCTCCTCGTCCTCCGCCTGCTCCTCCTGCTCCTCCTCTTCCTCCTTTTCCACATCCTCCTCTTCCTCCTCCTTCTCCTCCTCCTGCTCCTCCTCCTCCTCCCTTCCCTCCCTCCCTCCCTCGTTCTTTTCCCTCCCTCCCTCCCTCCCGCCCTTCCTCCTCCTGCCTCCATTCCTGCCTCCCTTCCTCCTTCCCTCCCCCCCACGCGTGTTCCCGTGCACATGCATGCGCACGCGCGCGTGGGGGGCTGCCCGCGCGCTGGTGGCCTTGCCAGGAATGCTGGAAGACACCTCGAGGGAATCGTCCGAGCTGCTCCCGCCGGCGCTGCACCCGCTGTACATCTTCCCCCGCCCGATCGGTGTGATCGTGAGCTCTCGCGTCTTCGTCTTGCTCTCCCTGCTTCGCATGGACGCGCCCGCGCGAGCGGGGAGGAGGACCAGGAGGACGAGGAGGAGAACAAGGGGTGGTAGCGTTGGGCAAAGATAGAGTAGGGGGGTGGGTGACGATGCAATGGT